TGAGCGGCAGGCAATTATGTTAGGTAAATTTTCATTTAGAGTTGTTAGAAATACTTTTTTTCCACTCCTTTTTTCTCATGACACAATTGCTACTAACGATTGTGAAGTGAAACTATTATGTTTGTTTGTTTACCAACGATTATGAAGTGAAACTATTTATTTGTTTGTTTGTTTACCAACGATTATGAAGTGAAACTATTTGTTTGTTTTTAAAAGATGTGAAGCAAAAAGGTTTTATAGTAATGTCTCTTTATATTTTTATTAAGCATAGGTCGTCTTTTAGTAGCCAAGTTAAAACAAAAATCTGCATATATAATTGGAAATTCAAAATAGCTAATATATCTAAACAAAACCTAATAAAAATTTGAAATTCAAATCATCCTAAAACTAACAACTCATTATGCAAAAAATAAGAAATCTAGGAAGGCCAGCTACATACTCGAAAAGTAAGTATTGATTATACAATATTATTTGTTGTCATTTATTTCGATATAAATATAACATTCTCGTACGAGCAAAGTGTTAAACTTGGGTAGAAATATGCTCAAGCACAATGTATTATTCTCATGAAAATGTTGTACTGTTTAACAGGGATGCTATTGTAGCAGTCTCCTTTGAGAAGGAGTACTTCAACGGGTCGACCTGTTTGAGGCGTGTCTGTCCATTAGGTTCAACGATTCTCTATTCTGCTTATTGAACCACGATTTCCATGTAAGCTTCTTCTAAAATTGTTAATCTCCTACATTCCTTGTTTCTTTATTTCTCACATACCTCTGTAAAGTTAGTCTACTGCAATATATCACAAATTATTCAAACGTTTCGTTTGTTTTGCACGTTTATCACTTAATCCTGGAATGTAGTACTCTTCATTACATAGTATAATGGAAGTTGTTAAGTAGTGTGGTTCTTGAATAAGATAACTACTCATTCTCTTCAAATATTTTATTGGCATAAAATTTCCTATTCAATTTTCAGGGGACAGATTGGAACATTTTGCATCACTAGTACTTATCTTCTGGAGACTCTGATTATATGGTGTTTGAGATTTTTTTCAAAGTTGTATAGTATAAAATTCGCAAGGCATAAGTTCAGATTGTATATTTGCAAGGCATAAGATCGGAATATGCTTTAAGTTGTATAGTATATAATTCGAATGATAGGAAACGTTTCTCCTCAAATAGAATTCTATACAACACAAATTCAAATTGATCAATTTCCTACAAGTCACAAATCCAAATTGGTCGGTCTCCAATGCAGGTACCAACACACCGAATGAGGAAAAAAAAATGGGTTGAAATAAGGGGAAATTGTGCATAATGACAAACTGTTAATTTAAAATAAATAATACAGCTATTGTTTCATTTATTTCCTTTGAATAGCTACAGTTTCACATATATTGCTATTGACGGATCCCACGAATTTGTATAAGTAAATAACGGAAGTTATTCCTTTTATACAATTCACTTCATCTCCTTCCTCTCTCCCATACCCTTCAATTTCTCCTAAATTCTCTCCACAAAATTAGTTTGAATTTCAAATCTTCACCAGTACGCTCTCAATCGTGACTTCAAACGTTTCAGGTATTGCCAAAACCTATCTAAATCGATTTTTTTTTCAATTTTTCAGATTCAAGTTTGAAAATGACCCAATTGGAATGGATGAAATTATCACAAAGTCAAATACAAAAGACGAATCTAGTTCAACAAAGAAGAGGAAAGCAAAAGTAATTGATTCTACCAGTGATCAGTCAAAATCACATGAAGACATTGTCCTGGCTTAGTGGAACCGGATGGATCTGAAGAAGTTAAAGCATATGTATAAACAGTAATTATTGAGTTCTATTTTATGATTGTATAATAAGCCCTTTTGTATATATGTAGTAATACTTTCTCAGATTTATTATGTTTACTAGGTAAATTACCTGTGCTTCGCACGGGATTGAACTATTTTACTAAGCTTAGATATGATCATTCAGTAATATTCGTATTTTCGATACATACACTACATTTTCAAGAACAGTTTGTCTTAAGGTAAAGTAGTCCTCCGAAATCTTAAAGTGCTATATTTTTTTTAATTTTCGTCTCTGTTATACAAAAATTATGAGTCATACAGAGATTTTGAAGTATAAAAAAAAGTATAAGAAAATCTCCGTGCAAATAGTTGGTCAGAAGTAATCAAATTCTCTAAATTCCAAAAAGTTATACAGAACAACATCAGAGTTAAAGAAGAGACAAAAAAGCCATAATTAACGAAATTCAAATAAAGGACCTTCAGCTCTTTTCTTATGAACCTCCATCAATCTCTCTTTTATTATAGTATACCGTATCATGTAAATGTTTAAAATGACCCTAAAATTGTTAGCATCACAAATATTTTTCCTCATTGTCTCAGAATAGTCATTACTATTGCTTAGGTTTCATATCACCGGCCCCAACTTATTTTGAATTGAACCATATTTATTGTTATGGTTATAGTATGCAGTTACAAAGAATTAATGCAATTATCAACCAAGTAGTATGTGACATCTGAATGGAACTGTTCACAACTGAATATTCTAAATCAAAATTTTAATTTGACACATAACATATTAAAATCTCAGAGCATGATTTTGTGAGCACTTGAACTCACAAATATCCACAAATAATAATAAAGATGACCTTACTTTCCTAACTATCAAGAAGAAAAAGGCATGTTGCTTAACATATTTTTCAAAAGTTGTATCCAAGTTTAGAGTTCACAAATTTATTTGAAAGAATTCAAAAGAAAGAGTTATTACTTCTTTATTAAAAAAAACAAAAAACTATATCAAAAGAAAGAGTTATCACTAAAGTAAAAATGATCTTTAACGAAAATTAATAGTTTAATTGTTGCTAAATATGTATTTTCAGAGGCAATTGGTACTCTCTATAAATGTCCCTAAAGTCTATAGCAACATTGAATCTAATGAGAATTAATTAATGTCGGTAAAGGCCTAGCACTCTTCGTTAATGTGCATATTTACTGTTGATAAAAAATATTTTTGTTATAGTGTATTTTGGACATTTGTTAGGTTCAAGAAAACTTGATCTCTTATTATGCACAAAAGTAAGAGACGAAGAATTATGACTAATTAGTTAACTTAGTGTTAAAAGAAGTGTACTAATTGTCTCTGTACTAATATTCTAGGAAGAGTGCAATGACATATAAAATGTTTCAACAATCAAAATAATATACTAATTGTGGCAAGCAAGAGAGCAATCCTTTTGGTTCTTTTAACAAACTTCATCATTGATTTCGTATTAGTTATCACATATTTGTTGTTGTGTGCTATAAAATATAGCACAACCCACAAGCAATTTCCCCAAAAAGTATATGAAAAAACCTGTAGAAAGGGACAAAAGAGAAGATAAATTTTCAAACGTCCTCACTGAATTTTTAACCGAGTTCAAAAAAAGTCACAAAAACAACAAAAAGTTATTGTAATAGATACATGAATCAGTATGACTTACAGTAAAAGATTAAGTTTCATGAAATAGGAGGAAGAAAACTTTGAGGAATGAAAAACACTTCATAAGAAGCTTAATTAATGTATTTGAATTCAACTCCCCTATAGCAAAAAAAACCTACAAATAATAGTGACAGAAATAAAAGTTTGGTTTACTAAAGAACCAAATGTAATGAATTCAACCATTTCAGCAGTGTTATGAGTTGTGGACTGAGAGGTGCAAGAGTAGTAATGTCGCTTTGTAATTGAAATCAAATTTCTTTGTCTATATGAAGAAACATGTAGAAAGAGACAAAAGAGAAGATCAATTTTCAATCATCCTTGCTGAAATTTAAAAGTCACCAAAATAGCAAAAAGAAATTGTCATACTTACATGAATCCCTATGACTTATAGTAAAGATTAAGCTCCATGAAAGAGGATGAAGAAAACTTTGCGGAATGAAACAAACTTCATAAAAAACTTAATTAATGTATTTGAATTCGACTACCCTAGAGTGGAAAAAAACCTACAAATAATTGTGGCAGAAAATTTCTCTATTTATAGACAACAAAGAGTAGTGTGAACAAATCCTTATTGTGCCTTATCGAAAAGGTCACAACTCTTTGGAAAAGTTACAATTTTTCGGAAAGGTCACAACCTTTCATAAAAGTCATAATTTTTCATAAAAGTCGCAACTCTTCATAAAAGTCACAACTTTTCATAGAAGTCACAACTTTTCATAAAAGTCAAAACTTTTCATGAAAGGGGAGGGCTAGTTTTGGAAATAAATAAATTAAAAGGGAATCTGATTTGTGATGGCGCCACGTAGGCGGGCCTAGGGTTCTCTTTTATATAAATACTAGGAAACTAAGTCGCGCTATGCGCGGTATAAAAATATATTAAATTTATGAAAGTTATTGTTTTGTTTTCTTAAATAAAATTATAATATTATTAATGTTTTTAATGAATTTTTCGATCTTCAAATCCAAATAAATTATATTACAAATTCAAATACTTATATTTGTAATTTTGAGTTAAATTCATGGGATATTGATTTTATCAACAACAAAAAAACAAAAAAAAAATCTTTTAGCACCATCTAATATACCTATTTTTTTATGTTAGAGTTGTTATAATTGAAAAAAAATATGAATTTAGTATCCATTTGAATGCGTTCTTTTATAGAGTTATGATATGATAATAAAAAATAAATTAATAGATTTAACAGGAAAAAAGAAAAAAACATGAAGGAATATATATATTTTATAGTAGATAAATAAAACAAAGGTTTACTCATTGGTGTAAGGATGAGCTTAAAGTTTGCTTTCACTAAAATTATGTTATTCTCTAAGATAAATGCATAAAATGTAGAACTAACATGAATGAAAAAGGGATAATTTCATACACTTTTCTTTGAATTTTTAAAAATGGTTCGAATTTGACTTAACTATAACACTCGCCTCTTAAAATTTACGATATTATACTTCTCTTATTTTAGTTTTATTGTAATACTTCTTTTAACCTATTAAATATCTCTATTATATGTTTGGACTTATTTGTCCCTTAAAGAAACTCAATAATCTCGTTAAAAGAATCTTCTAAGTAGCATTACACATATGGATGAAATTTTCATCTAATTTCTTAAATATTAAATGAAATGTTTGATAAAGTGAATAGACAAAAAATCATTCATCTCCCTAAAGAGAGTACTATTAAAACCCTTTCATGAATCATTCATCTCTCTAAAGAGAGTACTATTAAAACCCTTTCATGAAATTGCCTTGGTGTCAATCTATTTCATTAGCTGCAATAGATCAACAACATAAAGATGAAACAAATAATAAACTAAACTACAATTTCTTATCTTTGTAAATAAACATATATGTAAGGATGTAAAAATGGAATACAAATTGACGGAATAGTTACAAGAGTGGTATTAAAATTAATGGCAGTACAATAATAAAATTGTAGACCCTTATCCCAAGAATCTTCTAAGTAGCATTACACATATGGATGGAATTTTCATCTAATTTCTTAAATATTAAATGAAATGTTTGATAGAGTGAATAGACAAAAAAATCATTCATCTCCCTAAAGAGAGTACTATTAAAACCCTTTCATGAAATTGCCTTGGTTTCAATCTATTTCATTAGCTGCAAGCCTGCAATAGATCAACAATATAACGATGAAACAAATAATAAACTAAACTACAATTTCTTATCGTTGTAAATAAACATATATGTAAGGATGTAAAAATGAAATACAAATTGACGGAATAGTTACAAGAGTGGTATTAAAATTAATGGCAGTACAATAATAAAATTGACAATTCAATAATAGTTCCCTTATTATAACTTATAACTATTGCAAAATTAAGATTACAACGAACTCTTCAAGAACCCAAATTAGGTGGAAAGAGTGAGTAAGAAAGTGAAGATACACACTAATAAGAACATAGTTAGGAATACTTATCGACACACTTTTTCATTTCTTATATGTGAAGCAAAAACACATGAAATTTATTAATTTGTTTGATAATTAAAATAAATTATAATATTCATTACATCTCATAAATTACAAAAACCTCCATCTATTCACATTTTCTACTTAAATGACATATCTCCTCAACTCCTTTCTATGATTCTCTTCATTACCTATAAATTTAGTTTTTCCAAAATATAATGACTTTAAATTTTAGTTCAAATTT